TATTTTTTTTTAAATTTTCCCCAAAAATGTTTTACATTTTGGAAAAAATGGGGCCCAAAACTAAACCCGAAAAACCAAAAAAATACCCCGGCCGGCCAAAAAACATTCGGGGGTCCCCCGGGGGACACTTGGGGCAGAGAAAGGGACCCCTTCGTTTTCCCTGGGAACTGGATTTAAAACGGGGGCCCCAAAGTTCCCCAAGCCCCCGAAAATTTTTACTTCCCAGAAAAATTTCTTTGTCCCCTTTTTAGCCGGGGGGGTGGTCCCCCCGGGGGACCCGGCCCATCCCTTTCCCCCCAAATTTTTAAAAAAATTTTACGTTGGGAAAGGGTACCCGGAAAAAAAATTCGGGAAAAAAAGCCCCCCCCCCCCCCCCGCATCCATCGGGGTTGGGTTTTCGTCGCTTGGCAACGACGTTGTAAAACAAGCCCCCCCCTCGGTGTTTGCCATCGGGATTGGGTTTTCGTCGCTTGGCAACGACGTTGTAAAACAAGCCAATTCACTTCGTGAACTCGGCAACCAGGTTACCGTTTTTTTTTTTTTCCTCGTTTTTTTTTTTGGCGGTAACCATAATGGTGGTCGAGTAGATCATATTGTGCGGGGTGGAGAACTCTCACTCCGCGCAACGGGGGATGATCGCACCACGTTGTGTTAAAATGGTCAAGCTTCCTCGAGGCAGTTGCACAGTGCTTACAACTGTCTCTGGAAGTGAAAGCACCAGAAAATAAATTAAGTCATACGTAGCTGTCATCCGTACGCAAGGAAGTAAGCACAAGATGCCGAACACCCTTAGCAGGATGCAGCTCACCCTTCATGCGACTCGCCAAATACCTCACGGCGCTTCGCGCTTGGTGATGTGAGAGCCTGGTCCGGTGAGAACCCGGCGTGCTCCGTCCCGGCTTTGTAGGGATGCGAGGTCAATGGTCTAATGACTACGGCATGCACGACTATGAGTACACCCCCCCCCCCCCGCCGGAGGGAGGAGAAATTCGAAATGTTACCATGAATAGTCGAAAAGTTACCTTGAGGTTGGATGGATAGCAAACATGCCTCGCTCTCGTTACCCGTTCTGCATCTGCTCGTTCATCGATGCCGGCCCACGCTCTCCCAGCCGTGCCACAACAGGAACACACGAAAACAAGCAGCCTGGCTTGTGTAGCACCACATATTTATCGACGAAAGTACAGGATCGACCAAAGCTCGAAATGAGCCAAACAGCTCAGCTAACAACCCAATTCTTTTGGAACGGGTCATTTACCAGGTTTCACAAGTGCTGACAATCATTGAACCACCTGCCTTGCATTCTTGACCAGGTTTCACAAAGTGTTGACAACCATTCATTGAACCACGTGCCTTGCAAACTTGTCCTTGCCGCTTCTAGCACTGCACAACAGGGAACGAAATCTCGCAAATCTACTCGTTGCCTTGGTCTTGTAGGGTTAGTTACGTTTGACTTGATCAATCGGCCACACGGGCGACTGGCGGGCTAGCGGCTGCTCCTAGATGTTCATGGGGGTATAGCATGCGTATGCATGAGAATATTGCCAGGACGACCCTGTGGTGTGCGGGGTGCCCGCCGTCTCTCGGCGGTATCCACAGCTAGCTCCAGAAGCGCCAGCAGCGTCAGCGGTGATGCGCACAGCGAGGACCGGACGCCAAAGCACCGACGCCTCGGCGTAAAACCCGGGGATATGTCCCCGCCCCCGCCCCCAAACCACACCCCCCCCCCCCCACGGACTCCGATTTTCAAGTGTCTTGAATATTTTTATATTTTTCATGTTTACCCTTGCGTGGGGGGCTAAGATCACGACAGTGGTGATACCTGCAAGCTCCACGTCCACACGGACAGACAAAAAGACAATTGCTATCCCCACCCCCTATAGTGTGCCGGGATAATCCATGCTGCTACTACTGTAGATTCTCGCCGGCCAGGTTTCCCCTCCCCCGTACGCAGACACATCAAAGGGAAACTAGCCCCGTTTCGCAAGTCCCAGAAATGAAAAAATAGCAACGTCACATCGGGAAAGAGGGAAATGGATTGGCGATGAACACAAAGGGAGAAGTATGACTTATCCCTGCCGCGTCCATGGCATTCATACCGGCACATACAGTATATACCATGTATTTACGCGGCCAGTCGATAATGTCCGCCAGGTTTTCCCGATATCCACGAAGCACTCGAAACTCTCGGGAGCAATGATACACATGGAGCACAGGGTAACGGACGACACATGTCTGGGTGGAACCTAAGCTAAAACAATGGGCAGTATCGTTACACTGCTGCTTCTAACACCAAAATACTCGCCACTCCTCAGCCCTTCCCAACGCTAATTGAACAGAACGTCGCCCCTGCCCATAAGAAACACCCCCCGAAGGAATCGAGTCTCGCGTTGTTGTAGAAACGATAAGATGGCGTAAGAAATCGGGCTCGGCCGCCGGCAATACACTACGTGAAACATAATTCATTGTGACAAGGTTGGAAACGTAACTTTTTCGGCCTTGTCAGACCGCAAGACAATCCTGTCGGCGTTGGCCAGAGGTACCTCGATAGCCGCCGATGCTGCAACTGCTGGCTACCGTACAGCTCACGTTTGCCCGAATCGATCTCGCTAGTATGTCACAGGAGCACTGCCTTCATCCGTGCTCAATTGTCGACCGCTGCTGCCGATCTCCGGTACCGTTCCGTCGGACGAGAAAGAGCTCCGCGAAGCGAGACTGGGCATGTCCTTCCACAGGCGCGTCTCTGATTGGCCCAGACAAGCGCTTGACGTCATGCTCGTGGCCGCGCCGAGGCTCGTCGATCTCGCTAAAGGCACGGGCGGTGGTACGGCAGTGTCTGGAGGAGACCCATCCCTCCGGCGAGAAGATTGCGGGACAATTTCACCGGACACCCCGCGAGACGATGTTCTCAACGAGGGATCCTGCGGAAGGACGGGCAAAGGGGGAGCTTAAGGCGTCGGCTGCGTACATGATATGGAAGGGGGATGGCCATGCGGTGCATGTACAGTGGGGGTGCCTGGGACGAGTGCGTGGGTTCGGGTTAGGCGGGCGAGTGAATGGTGAGATAGATCATGAGTCCGGGGCTCTAGTGGAGCAACCAACCGCGGTTGTGGTTTATATTGCAAACTCGTCAGTAAGGCTATATCAGCCCCGCAGGCGCCTGCTGAAAATCGGTTATTAGCAACGGCGCTGGGTGTTGGTGCTGTTCTGCGGACTACGACGGTTTAGTCGTCGCCGGCAGAACTGGGCGAAAAGGAAGATATCGAAAAGCAGCAACTCTGACAGCCCGACGGTATAGGCCTACGGATGCTGACATTGCCAACGATACCAAGACCGCCACTCCTCTAAAGCCAGCAACAACGACCGACTGTATCCACCTGCTGTCCGAATGCGGGCAGCGTCCCCCCTGTTTCCCAGGCTGGTGGGCGCTCCTCGTCCTCGTCCGTTGCGTTGCTTTTCCTGTCGCCAGCCTTTCGCCTCACGCGGTACGGGGTAGCGTTGTTGACTCGCCTTGTCAGATCGACTACACGGTCCGACCCTCTGGTAACGGATTTCTTGAAGTTTCGGCCCTTGAGGTGCGGGTCCTGGCGCGATGCGGAGATGAAAAATATTGGCCACAGCAAGAGCAGCAAGTCTGCCGAGAGCCGAGAGTAAATCACGAAAAGGGAACAATCAAAGGAGGAGGACGAGGTGAGGGAACGAATATACAAGTTTAAGGGCAAGGCTCCAAACGCGAAGAGAATCCAATTGGGGCAAAGAAATCCAGGAATAACTGAGGAGGAAGAACCGAGGCGATGTCGAACGTAGGTAGAGCGCACTGGCGAATTTAGTCTGCGACATGCCTGCCTTTCTCTGGCCCCTTCACCCCATTGCCTGCTGCCATGCCGTATTTTCACTACTTCACTCTGTACGTTTCGCCTGTGTACTTGTGTCCGACCGCCATCAGTCCGTGGCCGCTGACTCTGGCTTTCTCTTGCTATATTTGTCGCTGTCGGTATCTTTTCGCAACTCGAAAATGTGCTCTTCGGTACAAGCTGCGCTGCCCTGCCTGCGAAAGCAAGTTGAACATGTCGACCTTTCCGCGTTGCTGGCGCAGTTACCGTTGGATGTGCTCTCGAGTCTGTCAGTGCTTTGTTCGTCACGAAGGAAACCTTCCCTGACCGATGTTCTCTGCCCTTCCGTCGTGGTTGTACTGGTTTATTTCTGACACACTCCTTTCGTCGGGCTCGTAAATTATTCTAGTGAGCCAACGTGAACTACCACATCAACGAGCACACAGAGCACAACTCACCCCAGAACCCGCCAACGTTGCCGAATAACTCGGCGATCTCGAGAGGGTTAATCTCCGTAATCTCTTCCAGAGAATCCGTTGACTGCGCTATCTCCATAGACAACCACGCGTAAGGGCTCGCAATTCCGGTAATGTTGTCGGTCCTCTAAATAGAAGACGAACAAGTTGTTCCAAACGGAAACGTAGTTTCAAACGAGTAGGGTGAGGGAGAAGGGGGGGGCGGTCAAGTTCCATACGTGTCAGTTGCCCTCTTCCATCATCAGGATATCTCGCTACGAACGTTTACATTCTCGGCGAGGGAATCATCACCGACATCGACAAGCTATCAGTCCGTGTGCAACGGCTCCCGGATGTTGATCCGCTAGAAATCCGTTTCACGTGGGAGCCTCAAGCCCTGACCCTGTCAACGGTATCGGGTAGTTAAGACATCCGGACTCTGACGACTTTCAGTTCTTTTTTCAGTCTACCATACGACGGCAATCGGGTGTATGCAGGCAGCAGGCACCACGTCAATGATACATCCAACCGACCGCACCAACAGGTATCAGGCCCGTGTAGTAGTAGAAGGGGCATAACCCCTCTTGTAGCACATGGACGGGTACTAGTCAGACGGTAGCAGAGACTCCACCTTCAACCTTGTCTTTGTAGAGAGCTGACGATATCTCCAGAGCCTTGTACGAGGCGGTGTCGTCTTCGTAGAGCTTATCCTCCTTGGTAAGTCCTATCCCCTGTACGGCCGCAAGACGAGAGAGCGGAGCACGTCCGGTTAGCCCGGGACGGGGAGAACAACATGCACCTGCCTCTTCAATGCACTCGTCTTCGATTGATGGAGTGCAGCAGATTGCGAACCAAGCGATCCGGATAGTACGCTGCTCCGCGGGAGGTATTTCTTTTTAGCGGTGTCGAAGCGGTATCAGAAAGCGAATGAAGACCACGAACACGTCTAGAAGGGGATTCTGCTGGAGTTCGGGACGACGAAGCGCCTCAACCTGTGCTGGATACATGGCTTAGAACGAACGCGGGCAACAACTGAGTACCCTGACCCATCTCCCCCCACCATATTTTGGGCAGACGTGGGCAGGTTTATTATCTGAAACTCGTGAGATAGGGCCGGTCGGGAGTCCGTACGTAACGCCGTGAAGACTTGACCGCTCTGCTCACCATGTAGGTGAAGACGTGGCTGCTGGACTCGCTGGTCATGCAGCTGTAGGGGACTTGGATGCCGGCCGACAGGATGCCCGTGTCCGAGTCTCGCAAAAACACGATTACGGTCTCGCTGGGAGAGAGAGGGCGAGAGAACCAGCACCGCAACGAAGATGGCGCCCCGCAGATAGAGGTGGATACTTACGTGTGAAAAGTTGACGGCAAAGGCTGAGGTCGGCACCAAAAATCGTGCAACTTAGGCGACAATACCGGAAACATCAGGTTATCAGGCAAACCGATCGATGCTCTTCAAGAGGCATAAGAAGTAGGAAATGAGCTCCAGCGAGTAAAGTTGAGTTGGGGAGCATTCGATACAATAGTAATGTTCCAACCAACTCCGGCTGTTCTCCATCCCGTGTTATCATATCCGTTGGTGGGTAAGGAGCACTTTGACAACCCGGAGCGACAGGAAGAGCGAAACTGTTGCTTTTTCTGTTGCGTGCACTGCGCAGCTTTCTCAACAGCTAACAACGGTCGTGAGAAAAACGCACTAAAAAAGGAAGAATTGAGGTTCATCGTGATGTTGACCAGAAGACGGGACGGTACGCCAGGACGACAGAAACCTATGCAACGAGCTACACATAAGAATATCCCTGGTATTTTGGCCCACAATTGGAAAGTCAAACCTCGCCCCGAGACGTTGCACTGCGGGTGCCATCTGTACATATCCTCTGATGTGACTACCTCTTCCGGTAAGTCTGAAGATTTCCTTCTGCAAGGTCAAGGGTGGACGCGGGGCGGCAATGTGCGCATCGCATCTACATAGCCTTGGAAACGTTTTGGGTTGCACCGAACCTTCTTGCATGGCCTACAGCACTGATGGTACTAACGACGGTAATTCCAGCTCTCTTTGGTAGTAGTTAATGAGAGGTTTTTCAGGTCATTGTGTTACGTTCGGTACGTTGTTCATCACCTGTGAGAATCCCACTCGCCCTCCTCAGAAATGCACGTCGTCGACGCGTTCGCGGTCCCGCCCGGATACCAATACATCTGTTCAAACACGACAAAATAGCAGGCCCATCAACGTAAAAACTCGATTGAAATACACAGCAAGCACCGGTGAAGGCCCGTCCTCCCAACTGGAAGCACTGTTTTCGGACTCGTGAGTGCGCAGGACGTTTCTGCATACGTCGTGAATTGTCGTTCGACGTTTATTGGGAAGGACACATGACCATGGGTGTTCCCAAGTACGGCACACATGGAATATACGTTGCTCACGTTTAGGAGGATGTAGTCCTCCGGGTCTCGCTCGCCGCCTACGATGTCCACAGCAGAAGTCTCGAAGAAAACGCACCAGCCCCTCTGAAAGAGGCAGGGCAACACAGACGCAAACTTGCTCACGATCAATTGCCATTTAACGTAGTCATCTCACACGAAGTTCTATGTCATCTCGCACGAACTTTACGCCAGCTCACATAAACTTTATGCCTCACCCTCGCCCGCCCGTGGTCATTAATCAAGCCTACCGGTAGGAAACACCGAGGAAATGGAACGAAACGCGTGGCACCGCTCACTGTTTTCGGCTTTGCCCGCACGGTCAGAACCTCGTGTCCAGAGTTTTCACGCTCTCTGCCTTACTGCCTTTTTTTCGCAAAGCATCATTCGCGATTGCGCAATGAATCGCTCAACAACTTCCTGTTTGTTCCGGGCTCATACGCCTTGAGTGTGTGCCCAGAGAGTGGTTTCTCTGCCTTCAGGACCAGCACCGTACATAACGCGGGAATTGCATAGTGGTCAGAAGGGTTTGGAAAGTAAACACAAGCACGTTACCAACACAGAGAAGCGGAAAGCACAGCAGACAACGGTGGAACTCAAACAAGACTCGCCTCGTCTGACCATGTAGTGGTGGAAACATCTTGCTCCATCTCCCCACCGGGGTTGAAGACCGCCGAGCTGCTGCCCCCTTCCGTGTCGAAGATGGAAGACGCACAGCTCTCCTCCAAGTCGAGGTCGTCGCAGCCGAAGAAGGAGGTCAAACACACGTACGTGTCTGGGTATTTGTAAACACTATTCTGAGAAAAAAACATAACACAGACACGTGCGGTGGCGGACAGAGCCAGGTCGTAATTGTGGGTACGGGAGGTGTGTGCGGAGGAAGACTCACTTGTTCCTTGCCTTATTCGTTTGACCTTCGACCACGCATCCCTTTCGAGACGGGTACCTTTTCTACTCCGGAAACCGACTGTTCAGGATGAGCACCCAGAATTCGTTCCACGCGAAACGCCTACATATTATTCCAAGTTTGACCCAATGGGCGCAAACGGACACAAGCACAGGCGACAGGGTGGCATGGCCATGAGTTTTAAGAAGCCTTGAGGTCTGGCCCTGGAGGCAAAAATGAGCCTCGGCCAATCAGGCCTTCAAAGAACGAACGACCTTTCGAATTATTACCTCTCTTTAGGAAGAGTTCTTCCTCCGGAGAAAGAGTCCAACTTCCCTACTCGGAAGTGCAAGTCCATCTCGTCCGCGAAACATTCCGTGTAGTCTAGAACACAACACCCACAAATTGTTTGATGCCTGCCTCTCCTTGGAATCAGCGCCCGATAGAATATGGCGTGGTGATTTTTACTCCTATGCAAAAACAACAGCCGGTAGGAAAACGCAGCACATACTACACTCACCGATAGCACGAAGGATGTACTCGGATTATTTTTCTGCTCCACCGCATTGTACACGAGGAGCGCCGTATCTGAACGCCAGCGTAGAAAAGTCCAACAATTGATACATAGCAGTTACGAAAAAAAGTAACCGAATTAACTTCGGAGGTAGGCACATATCTCCAAAGGCACTGAAAGGCAAGACCGCAGGGTAGGCAGGTAGGCAGGGAAAAAGGTTCGCGCTGAACTGAAATGCGCCCCCGCCCTGTCTGACTTGAGCAGTGCACAGATCAGGATGTTTCCATGGGACTGACTATGTCGGGGCTTTTTTTAAAAGACGTGGTTATTTTATTTTCGAGCGGGAGAGGGGGGCATCGCTCATGCAGCCGAGAGCCGTACACAGTACGAGGTACAAGGTCCTTGGGGCTTTCGCGCCACCGGCCAAATTGAGCGATTCCAAGGAAACGGTCAATATTGAGTGCAGGGGCCAGGCAGTAGGTGAAAAACGCACTCACCACTGCTGTGCTGCGTTGTGTTGAATGGAGAATACTCTCGATTGAAGGATCAGGCCGGGCGTCTACATGTATCTACATTTGGAAGAAGAGAATACTTGAAATTCTTACTGGCGCTTGCCGCGCCGTCGCCATGATCAGTATAATACCTCATGTAGCCTGGAACGAGGACGGACGCGACAATACCTTGTTGGTCTGACATTAATGAAGGTTGAGTACCATCAGCGAAACACAGAGTACATCCTGCCTGTCAGTCCGTCATGCCTAAATGATTATGGGAGAATTTCGGGTCATTGGCGCTTCGCGCTGCTGCCGAACGAAGAGAATCCACTGTCTTCTTGTTGACCGTTCAAAACCGGAATATTTCCAAGAGGAGATCAACGCATATGTACGTGGTAAGTACGTGGGCGATGCCAGCAGAAAATAATCAGCAGTGCGTGCAGTCGAAGACAAATGAACGAGTGTGTACGATAGACAACGTCGAGGCGTGAGAGTAGAGAGGGCTTGGTGGAGGACTGGTCGGAGGAGAAGGGAGGTTTGATAGTGCCCATCCATCCATGATGTCGATTGAACAAAATGCGAGAGTAAATGTAGTGTGTGCGGCGCGGTGACTCTTAGAGAGGATGAGAGTCGAGTATACCTAAAACAGTGTTCACGCGTCCAGACGGGAATAAAGTGTGAATGTTGTGGAAGACAGATGATGAACGAGTGAGACCGTACGGCAGCCAGAGTATAGCGGCGTGGTGGGGGGACAAGGGAGTGATGGGAAGAAGGGGGTCTGCCCACGTCTTTGATCGATGAAAATGCGTGCCCAATGAGGGGTGTGCCCATCATCAGTGTGCCCAGCTTGCAACGTGCACCGGAGAGCTCCGCAGAATCGAAACTTTTATCGAGAAGAATGTTTTAGGAAATAGTGCGCTGTCAGGCGTCGAGAGAGGGGTGGAGGAGCGCTGAGAGAGAAGGAAAATCCGGGGGGGGGGGGCGTACTCTTATGTTTTGCATGCCTTAACGGTTAGACCATTGACCACGCGTCCTCGAGAGGACGGAGCATTGTTCCCACAGGACCGATCACCGATGGCCAATCGTTCCTTCCTACTTTGCCAAAGGTGGCTCAAAAATGTCTGCCCTAGTCTGTCTATCCTAACGATATCCCTTCCCGCCTTTTCAAACCACTTCCTACTCCCCAGTACAGCTACCGTCCTCTCCTTTCTATTCCATGCCTCAAACATCTCCCTGTACGTCCCATGTATTCTTCCCAGCTCAGTCATGTACACTTGCCTCTCCTGTTCGTACCACGGACATTCCGCGGCTACATGAACACGGTCTTCGAATTCGAAGCCGCAATCACGTTTGAACTTGTCGTCTTCGTCGTCTACCGTCCTATGTCTTCGTCGACGTTCTCGAAGGCCTATGTCCCCGGTCCTGAATTTGACCTTAAGCTTTGTCCCTGCATCCATTGGTCCATGTAGGTAATCCTTGAACTCTACTCCTTCTTTCAACATTCCGTACACTTCTAGACCCTCCTTATCCTCGGTTTCTTTCGTTAGATTCTGTTCTTCTCTCTCGGCACAAGCAACAGATATCTTCTCCTTGAACCCCTGTAGACCCTCCGTTTCCAGCGTTTCAACTTCGTTGATGTCTAACCCCTTCCATACGTCCTCTACAACCTTGACCCATTCCGTGGGTTGTCTACCCCTCTTTTTGTTTGCCCACTTCGCCTCCCATACTATTCTCGGCAACCTCTCCTCTCCCATCCCGCACATGCGATACTGCCATGTCAGCTTCCTTGCGTCTCTTCCCGACCGTAGGGATTGGATCCCCAATTGTGCCCTTACGGCTGCATTACTTGTGCGCTTGGTTGGAGCATCCTCGAGTTCTTTCACTACCT